GCTCCCCATGTACAGCTATTTACAACCCCCACACCCACTGGGGTGCCCCGAGGGGGTGCCTGATGGGCTGGGTGCCCCAAACACCCATGGGTGCCAGTGCCAGTGAGTGCCAGCAGCTGCCCGAGGTTTTATCCCGGCACAGCCCTTTCTCCTTCCCTTTCCCACCCAAAGACCCTGGCTGAGCCCCCACCATGGCCCAGACACCTGGATCCTGTCTTGAGGGTCTTGTCTCCCCCGCCAAGCCCCCGGTGGGGGGGGGAGATGGGGCCACGTACCCTGGCCTCACAGCCTCCTTCTAGGCTTGCCTGGTGGTCTGCAGCTTCCCTGCAGAAAGCACTTGCTCCTCAATAACTGGGTGGGGAAACTGAGGCACAAAGCTGCAAGGGCCTAACCTGGGTTGTGGGGGGCAGACCTTGTCTGGTGCCACCTCTCCCCCTGCCTCATCCCCCCTGGCTGGAGTTTGTCCCCCTCCCCAGGGCATCACCCCCACCTTGCACCAGGACCTGGCACCTCCGGCCCCTGGTGTGGTGCCATGCCCCAGCTGGGGGGAGACAGCGGCTGCGGTGCCCAGCGGTCCCCACACACCAGGATCCTGGGGTCCCAGGGCGGGGGGGAAGACAGCGATGCTGGCTGCAGCCACCCCAGGGGTCCCTGCTCCTCCCCGGGGCCAGGAGGTGGGGGTCACATCACCCCAGTGACTATGTACAACCTATAAATAAATACCGTCTCCTGTGGGAGGGGAGCGCATGTGTGTTTGCGTGTGTGTGTGCGTGGATGTATATATATATATTTATTTATAGATATTTTTAATATTAAAAGGGGGGAAAAATAGACCACTGTGCTAGCAAAGTCCCTGATGATGGTTTCATGTATGCCCGTAGGTCTCTGGCTGGTGATTCCGGCGGTTTCGAGGCTTCTTCTGGTCCTGCTGCTCCTTGGCTTTGAGGCCAGCCAGTGGCTGGGGGGGGCTGGGCGCTGGGTGGCGGCAGTAGGCCCGGGAGTAATGGTCCACGGGACCCCTTTCGGGGTGGGT